TTGATATTAAGGGATATTAATTACCAGTGATTGTTCATCCCTGTTATTTTTGGTGGTAGTGTGTGTGTACTTCTCTTCTTTGGGGTTTACTGCTGTGGGGTTGTCTATTGCATGTGTTTTCGTGGGTGTATCTGACTTCCTTAGGTTGGAATTTTCCTTCTAGTGCTTTCTGTAGGGCTGGATTTGTGGATAAATATTGTTTAAATCTGGCTTTGTCTTGTAATGTCTTGTTCATTCCATCTATGATGATTGAAAGTTTTGCTGTGTATATTAATCTGGGCTGACATCCATGGTCTCTTAGTGTCTGCATTACATCTGTCCAGGTCCTTCTGGCTTTCAAAGTCTCCATTGAGAAATTGGGTGTTATTCTGATGGGTTTGCCTTTATAGGTCACTTGGCCTTTTTCCTTTGCTGCTCTTAATATTCTTTCTTTATTCTGTATGTTTAGTTGTTTAATTATTATGTTGCAAGGGAACCTTTTTTTGGGGGTCTAGTCTGGTGTTCTATGGGCTTCTTGCATCTTCATAGGCATTTCATTCTTTAATTTGGGAAGGTTTCCTTCTATGATCTTGTTGAGTATATTTTCTGTGCCTTTGAGTTGGTATTCTTTTCCTTCTTCTATCCCTATTATTCTTAGGTTTGGTCTTTTCATGGTGTCCCAGATTTCTTGGACACTTTGTGTTATAACTTTTTTGGCTTTGGTGTTTTCTTTGACTGACAAATCCATTTCCTCCATTGTATCCTCTACATCAGAGATCCTCTCTTCGATCTCTTGTATTCTGTTTGATATGCTATCTCACCTATCGATAAGAGAAAATAATTACTAACAATTAAATCCTTACGTCCTTACTTTCATCTTTATTTATTAACACAAGACCATAATTTAAGGGATTTACTGCTTACAATTCTGGGATGACATTTTGGCCATTTGCTAGTTGCTGTGTAAAGGTAATTATTCCCACTGACCCAAAGAGACTATGACAAGGCCAGGCAGATGATAGGTGCCAAACACTGTTTCTTGTGCAAATTATGCTTTAATTCTCCATCTTTTATCTCAGCCCAGGTATTATTCCTAGTTATAAAGATTCACTATTTAACAATTAACTCAGAGCAAAAGTGCCTTTATGAACCAAATACTACACATTGTGACACAGGTTGCCTAGCAATGGGGTAAACTCCCCCTGGCCTAGCAGAAAGTG